AGGGCAAGCAAGAGGGCAAGCAAAGAGGGCAAGCAAGGGAGCCAGCGAGCAAACAATCTTTCTTGGAGGAATTTCTTTCCGAACCGAAGTTGTAACTGCTGGTATCACTGTACCAGTAAAAATATTGCTGCCGTGACGGGTCGGTGGTGATGGTTGGTGCTAGGATACCCAGAATGGGAAAGTGATATGTCTAGATGGCAGTGATCATAATAAATGTCATACCATGGAAAAGGAACCAAAGTGATGTGAAATTCAAAAGTTGCAAACAAAAACCTGAAACTTTGGTGATCCAGGTATGTATATATACATATGCACAACAACAACAACAACCACCATCACAACAACAACCATCACAACAACAACCATCACAACAACAACCATCACAACAACAACCATCACAACAACAACCATCACAACAACAACCATCACAACAACAACCATCACAACAACAACAACAACAACAACAACAACAACAACAACAACAACAACAACAACAACAACAACAACAACAACAACAACAACAACAACAACAACAACAACAACAACAACAACCATCACAACAACAGCCATTGCAACAGCAAACATCGCAACAACAAACATCGCAACAGCAAACATAACAAAGAAACAACAACTAAGATTTCAACAGCAGACAGCACAACAACAAACATAACAGCAACAAACGTAACAACAACAAATACAACAACATAGAAGGTTCCAGCTTTCAAATTCTACAAATAGCACACAAACTGAAAGGTTCCTGCGCGCAAATGCGGCAAATAGCATGATAAATAGAAGGTTCCTCCGCCCAAATGCGGCAAATAGCATGCAAAATAAAAAGTTCCAGCGCCAAAATGCTGCCAATAGCATGCAGCATGGAAGGTTCAGCTCCAAAATGCTGCAAATAGCATGCAGCATGGAAGGGAAGTGGCAGGATAGATGCAGGGGACGGAAAAACAGAACAGATCAGGAAAAAAAATCCCCTGGGCAAAGGAAAAAAATCCGCGGCTAGATTCGGCACCCACAACTACACTCCACTACATTCCACTACACTGAATTACACTACACTATACTACACTACAGTACATTACACTACACTACATTCCACTACACTCCACTACATTACAATACACTACACTACATACCACTACACTACACTACATTAACTACAACTACAACTACCAGTAGTACCGCACAAGGCGGTGTTGGAAGTTTCAAAAATAGGAAGCCTATAGGAGAGGTTGGTTGTTGTGAATCAGAGATGGCAGAGCAAAGCCACTGATGAACCAAAGGTGTTTGATCTTTCCTCTCTTTCTCTCTCTTTCTCTCTCTTTCTCTGACTATCTACCTACCTACCTATCTATGTATCTATCTATCTATCCATCCATCCATCCATCTATCTATCTATCCATCCATCCATCTATCTATCTCTCTCTCTCTCATCTAATTACCTGCTATCGATCTATCTATCTATCTATCTAACTATCTATAAATCTATCTATCTATCTCTCTCATCTAATTACTATCTATCTATCTATCTATCTATCTATAAATCTATCTCTCTCTCTCTCATCTAATTACTAGCTATCTATCTATCTATCTATCTAACTATCTCTCTCTCTCTCTCTTTCTCTCTCTCTCTCCCCTGTCTATCTGTCTATCTGTTTAGCTGTCTACTGTCTATCTGTCTGTCTATCTATCTGTCTAGCTGCCTACCTGTCTATCTGTCTATCTGTGTATCTGTCTATCTGATTATCTATCTATCTGTCTGTCTGTCTATCTGTCTACTTGTCTATCTGTGGTGCAGTGTCATTCAGTGTGTAGTGGAGTCTAGTTTAGTGTAGTGTAATTAGTGTAGAGTAGCGTAGCGTAGTGTAAATGTAGTATTGTAGCTGTAGTTTTTGTTGTAGTTGTAGTTAGTGTAGTGTAGTGGAATGTAGTGTAGTGTAGTGGAATGTAGTGTAGTGTATTGTAATGTACTGTAGTGTAGTGGAGTGTAGTGGAATGTAGTGTGTTTAATGTACTGTAGTGTAGTATAGTGTAGTGTAATTCAGTGTAGTGGAGTGTAGTGGAATGTAGTGGAGTGTAGTTGTGTAGCTGTAGTTGTAGTGTAGTGGAGTGTAGTGTAATGTAGTGTAATTGAGTGCAATTGAGTGTACTTGAGTGTAGTGGAGTGTAGTGGAGTGTAGTGTAGTGGAATGTAGTGAAAGTGTAGTTGTAGATGTAGTGTAGTGTATTGGAGTGTAGTGTAGTGGTGGTTGTAGTCGAAAATGCTCCAAAACCCTCCCGTTTTGCTCACGTTTGACAAGGTGCAGAATCCCTTGCGCCTGCCACGCCAAACGGCATCTGAACTTCCAAAAGTGGCGCGAACATGTGGTGCTTTGTACATTTTGACTTGGAAATGTGCTTCGCGCCACAACGGCGTGCACTTTTTCGACAGCTCAACTTCCAAAAGTGGTCCGAACGTGGTGTATTTTGTACATTTTGACTTGGAAATGCGCTTCGCGCCACAACGGCGTGCATTTTTTCGACATCTCAACTTCCAAAAGTGGTCCGAGAATGGTGTGTTTTGTACATTTTGACTTGGAAATGTGCTTCGCGCCACAACGGCGTGCAATTTTTCATCTCTCATCTGGCCAGCTGGCTCCGCACCCGCCGCTTTAGCGAGCCTACTTTTCGACCCTCCGGAGCCACAAATCATTGGAATATTGGATATCATCCGTTGCCTATTTTGATGTTCGCCGCTGGGCCTTCGACCCACCACCATGTGATTCTCTACAGAGGATCCTTCCGAAATCGTCGAGATGTTTCGGAAGAGGTTGGCCCCTCCCCCTTCGAAGTTCGTTTGTAGACCCCATTAACTATCGTTATGAGATGTTATGAGTATCATAAACCATAACCTTAGGTAAGATAGTGAAATAGTTCACACAACCATAATTTAACTATTGTAAACCCCAAAAACCCCATATACAAGGTGATGCCCCAGTTCGTCTTCCTCATCAGTTCCGCCTACACGAGAAGAGGCTTTGATGGAACCGGAAATCAGTGTCCAGACCTTCTGTGCTGATGATTTGACTTTGACACGGCACTCTGATGATTACAATACTGGTGTCGCGCAATGGTCCCAAGAAGATCCGCAAGTTGATGACCGTTTAGATGACATATCTGACGAAGAAGAGATGCCTGCTTCGAAGAACGTCATGCCTGTCAGTGCTCGTCTCCGAGGCATGGAAGACAGATCTACTGCTCCACGAACCTTCAAATTTGGAAATTGTCCACATCACGGAACAGCCCTTAGACCTCACATTTAGTCTGCCAGATCAAAAAAGGCTGGTCGAGGCGCCCTCGTGTGCTCAAAATTTTGGAAGAGAGATGAAACAACCAACCGCCCCGCTTGTTGGTATTTCAAAGAAGTGTCGCTGGCGGAAGCTCAGGAGTGGCCTAGATTCTATCGCAACCAACATCAGTCACTGCAAAATCGTTTCTTGCGCGGTGGTCGTCAAGATTGATCGCATGCTCCACGACAAAACAGTAGCTGGCAGCATGTCTCTAGGGTGTCCCAAATTTGGGAAAAGGGAAACTATAGTTTAGCAATTCTGTTACAATGGTTTCACGATTCTCTACATTAATCGTTTCATTTATGTCTCCATTAGTTTCACGGGTTTTGTTTTCTCGACGCCCTGGTCTGAAGATGTAGGCGTGCATTTCCACAATGTCACAAGTTACTACTCTGTTGGTTCCATGGATCTTCCATTTTTAGATGTTAGTTCTAAAATTTTCAAGATGATCTAACTTCTACACCAATCCCTAAAGTATATAATGTAAGATGTAATTTCTATGATATGTGACTTTCCATGTCAACATGTACCTTCATCAGTTATCCCTCAGATATTCAATGAACTTTTATAAACACAATGAATACAAGACATATTCATAGAATGAATACACACCATGCTGCCTTTCAATCCATGGAGGCTCCGATGGCAGAAATCATTATTGGCAACTATTTGGTCTTTTTCAAAGACCGCAAGGCCGAGATGACAAAGGCAAGTTTCTTTTTTGGGACATCAAAGTCGCCACCGCCAAACGTGGCGGCAAACCGCCTCCTGAGTCCGCTGCACGTATCCTAGATAGTCAAGCTTTAACTTTTTTGAGAAAATCCCCTGGCAAACAGAACCTTTTGATCACCGATGGGGCACCCTGCTATCCTGGGTTGAGTCACAAGTTTGGTTGGCGCCATGAAGCTTGCAACCACTCAAAGGGTTTGTTTTGTGTAAAGAAACGCATCGGCAACCAAAGAATTCTGATTCACACAGGGGGTGTAGACGCAATGTGGCGACTATCTAAGTCTGCCATCCCATGCTCTCTCTCGACCAGATCCAATGGCCATGTCAACCCAAAGTTGATGCGAAGCATCCGGGTGTGGCAGTGGCGTTGGATGAACTCCAAGACGAAAAGTCTTATGGAGGTCACAGGTCGAGCCTTGAAAGACCGTGCCGCAATGTGAGTTGGAAAAAAAAATCCGGCGAGTTTTCAGGAAGAAAAACCCTGTAATTTACAGGTTGTCGTCCAAAAAACACTTCAAAATCCCGGGGAAAATTGAACCAATTTTGGAACATGAATCAGTATTTTCGCTATGGCGAAAACGACATTTTTTTAAAAAACGCTCAAAACGCTGGCGCGGTTTCCCCCCCGGCGGGTAGTTTTTGTCTTGCTTCCTGTTCACAACCTTATTCTTGCGTCACAGCACTCCTCCTGCTTGGCGTTTCGTCTACTTCTGTCTCTTGCCTCTTGCCTCTTGCTTCTTCTTCTTCTTCCTCTTCTTCTTTTTATTTTTATTTTTCTTCTTCTTTTTCTTCTTCTTCTTGTTTTCTAGCTTCTTGCTCTTGCAGCATGCTTGCTTCTTCCTTATCTTATTTCCTGTTCCCTACCCTTCTTGCGCGATCTCTTGTCCTCTCTTCTCTGAAGCGCTCCCCCGGCTGCCAGCAGGGGTCCGCTTCGAGGTACTGTCGCACGCCACGGCCCACTACAAGGGCTTCAGCATGGACGATGTGAAGGAGGGGGGTGAGGCCAGACGCTGAGCTCAGTAGTTGAAACGTTGTAAAAGGATGGTGGGCCCCCTAGTTATAAGATGTGAATAGATGTGACAAGTTGGTTTGGTTTTACCCCAAACCATGGAATACACCTATATAATTTTACATGGGCAAAGAAACCAACTTAATTAGCTATTGCGCCATGTTGATAACCTGTATCCATGACCCATATTATAACCCCCCAATATTTTTTTTGGGGTATACATTGGGGTCATTGGCCTTTCAGCAGGCATGGGAATATGAACCTGCCATATCAGGGGAATATGAACCAGCTATAATTAAGGGTACCATCTGGTAAACTAACGTAACTATGGAAAATCACCATGCTATTCATGGGTAAATCCACTATTTCTATGGCTATTTTCAATAGCTTTTTGTATGTTTACCAGGCCGGGTACCATCTGGGTGGGTTTTGACTGCCGCATGAAATCCAAGGTCCTGCGTGCCTATTGGAGCCTGAGGGCCAAGCCGGCAGCGGGATTCCGGGATCCATGTTCCAACGGGGAGCCTTTCCCGAGTCTTTCAGAGTTTCCCGAGCTAAGAGACAGTGATGACTTTCTTAGGATTTGTGAATTTTGCAGAATTTGCTCTCTGGAACTCTCTCATAAACCAACAGTTTGCTATGGAAATCTTAATTTTTAATAGGAAAATCATCTATAAATGGGCCAACTGGAGGGGTCCAGCCTGTCCAGCGGGGTGATAAGGACAGGGGGATACCACGGCTCAAGTGTGGAAATTTGACCGAACCAAAGGAACTCTTTCAGTCAGAAATGTGTGTTGACTGGATGAAGACCATCATAGACCCTCATAGACCCTCAATACACATTCAGTAGATTCTCACCATAGCTACTCACCCAATAGATGAGATACCCTTATTTTCTAACTATTTCAGAAAATAAACTATTTCAATCTATTGGGTCAACTATTTGTGATTTTGTGGTAGTTCTTCGTCGCCGCGAAGCGTCAAAAATTGCCCCCTAGGTCGAGGTTCTGCGCTGGAGGCCTTTCAGCGTGGCGCGTATTCGAAGGACCGGCCGGAGACCTGTGGCCAGGGAGATCCCACAGTTGGGTTATTTGGGTGTGTTTGTAAAAAGGAGCGTATATCGGGTATATGTGTATATATATATATACGTATATATATATACGTATATATATATATATGTATATATATACGTATATATATATATACGTATATATATACGTTTATATATATATATGTATATATATATATGTATATATATATAGATAATTATATATATATATATACATATATACATACATACATACATGTTTGATCATCTTATCTGGTATATAAACCTTTGTTTTTTTTCAGGTTGGGGAGGATGATGATAATCCATGGGAAGTGTGTTTTTGCCCAACATTTTTCAGACATGGTCCCTGACCCAACCGTTTGGATCAATCCGGGGTTGACATTAGCGACAGGCTATGAGTTTTGCCCATGGCCATTGCACTTGAAGCTGCTGTTGTTTGATGGTTGAATGGCTTCAAGTGTAATCCCATTGCCCTAAGCCTATGTCCTAATATTATAATTTATATTTAATAAACATTCATAAACACATCATCATAAAACACACCATATTTATATTTAATATATACCATCTGGTTATGACTAACAGTTCGCCATGGAAAATCACCATCATTTTTAATAGGTAAACAGGTAAACCATCTATTTCTATGGGAAAATTTCCATGGCTATGTGAGTCATAACATCATAACCACACCTTGGGTGAATGTATTGGATCTATAAAAATGACTTCTTTGGCGGCCAACATACCCGATCTTTGGAGATGTTGTGACAACGCCACGCGCCACCCCCAATGCAGAAACAGCTGGTGTAACACTGTGTATTTCAAGATATGTTGAACATTTCAAAGATGTAAACCGCAAACAGCTGGAGTATGTCTCTTTTTTTGCACACATTTGGCAATGCATCAAGATGATCTGCCCAAAATTGGATGGTTTGCTCAGTGAAGACTGGGTCCTAAATGTGAAGACTGGGGTCTACCAGCAACCATCTGTAGCAGTTCTTGGGATTCCAACAGGGTCCATTTGGGGGTTTCCATAAATATGGATACCCAAGCTCGCTGGATGTTTTATTTGGAACACCCCACGAAAATCCCATCTATAATGTTTTATTTCATGGAAAATCCATCAATCCCCAAGTGTTAGGAAACCTCCATTTTTGCTGGCTAGCCCATCGATCTCCTCGCGGGATGGTCTAGGAGGATTGCTTGTGGGGCTGGGGTCAAGCCAGAAGCGACTAGGTGCGGACTATCAGGGTTATCAGGCCTTGGGATAGGAAAAATCTGTGGAAGTCAAGCAACAAAAAGGTAAGGAACCATGGAATTCCAGCTGCAAGCTTTGGGCTTTGGGGATAATGATGGAAAGCAGCGGATCTGTCAGTAACACGCGGGTGAACATGCCACTTGCTTTGTGGCAGCAATGATTCAACGAGTGAAAATTTTTGAAGCTTGGAAAGTGGTGAAAATACAGGCCAAACTTGGTCTATTTCAGTGCGGAACCCAATTTGATTCAATGATCCCTCGACGTCTCAGATTTTTGCTGGATCATACCCTACAAGACATACCAGTTCTAAGGTTTCAACAAAACCAGCAGCATCCCTAAATGGGGTGATTCTCTGATTCAATGGCGCCCCTTTAGGGAATTTTAGGGATACATCTTTGGGGTTTTCAACATTCTGATACCTAGAACTGCAGCTATTGCTAAGTACCAAGCTTTTGGAATTTTATGAGGTATCCCAGTGGCTTTGACCCGGACTAATTGAGGTGGACTTCAAATAGAGGAGACCCAACTTTCTTCAAAACCAGAACTTGTTGCTCTAGATGGGATAAACCAAGATGGACGACTCCAGAAAATGGACTTGCATGATACTATGATTACAGTATATGTGATCATATGAAATCATATATGAACATACACACACATATATAGTTAGACTGTTGCTCCCCCGTCTTTCTCATCTAACCGCCCACATTATTATACAAGCAAATTCTATGGGGTTAATACCACAGACAGGGGAGCAACACCTTATAGAAAACAATAACCTAAATCAAAACAACAAACAACAAAACAAAAAACTCAAACAACCTAAACAATACAATAGACCATAAAGAATACTATACCAAAAACCTTAACAACAAACCATACACTTACCCTCATTCAAAAGCCTGTTGTAATGCTAAAACCTATGAGATGGACTTTAAGATAAATTATGAAATAATTTATCTATGAAGCCAGACCTCGGCAATGGTAAAGCCAATACATAAACATAATTGAAAAATCAATGCCATAAACAGGATTTCTCCATCTTACCAGTCCAAGATTTAGGCAAAGGGACTGCCTAAATTTTAGGCAAAGGGACTACCTAAATTTTAGACAAGTGGGTTGCCTAAATTTGAGGCAAAGGGATTGCCTAAAATTTAGGCAAGGAGGGGTGCTCCAGCCTATAGATAATAACAACCCCCCGTATTCAGTATCCGAATACACCCTTATTCTGTATTCAAATGCTGAATACCCGTATTCAGTATCCGAATACACCCTTATTCTGTATTCAAATGCTGAATACGTCCATAGGCTCAATACCCATTGTCCAGCCCCTAGACATCCCAATGTATAGACTTTATACATCTAAATGTATAGACCTTATACATCCCAATGTATAGGCTGTAGCCATCCAGATTATCCAGCCTAGATTTTGAGAAAAACTAGCCCAGATAATGGAATTATCCAGCCCAGATAATGGGAATATCCAGCCCAGATAATGGAATTATCCAGCCCAGATAATGGGAATATCCAGCCTAGGTAGTATTGAGACACACCCCGCACAAATCCATTTTCAGACCTTGAAAACACCCATTTTCAGACCTTGAAAACAACAATTTTCAGACACTGAAAACGGCAAAAAACACTTTCAGACCCTGAAAACGGCATTTTCAGACACTGAAAACGGCAAAAAACAATTTTCAGGCACCGAAAACACCAGTTTTCAGGCAATGAAAACAGACTACATTTGTGGCAGAAGTTGAAGGATATGTATAAAGCACAATAATAGTGTCTTAATTTACTTAAAGAGATATTCTTATATAAATCATAGTAATGAGTGTCAAAAACAGAGAAATTGATGAAAACGGATATGTAATCATTCAGCCTCTAATACAGGTGGATATTGATAAAAAAGCGGACTTGAAAAAATATAACAGATACTACCACAGGGAATACTATAAGAATTTTTTGAGCGTCAAGGTTGAATGTCCTTTATGCGGGTGTAGCATTACAAAAGAAAAGTTCAAGAGACACCAGCAATCAAGCAAGTGTATCAGATTGAGAGCAAGTTATAATAATGGAGACACTGAAGATACATCAGAATAAATAAGGTAAAAACATAAAATGTCTTAAACTACTTAAAGAGATGTTATTATAATATAATATAAATATATTATAATGCCATCAAAAAATATAAAAAGAAATGTAGAAGTATTAAAGGGTCTAACCAGAGGTGCTAAAGAAGATGTTAAATACAGAGTGGATAAGGTGGTAGAATTTTATGAAGACAGGAAAATTTCACAAAGAGAAACTGCCCAGAAACTGATTAACAGCCTGATGAGCGACAACAAGAGAACAGCAACTTTTGCTAAAAAAAGATTTGATAAAAAGTTTGAACAGATTGAAGGCAGAGCACCACTGAATGAGAGAATGGCAACAAACAGAAACAAGAAGGACTATGTTGTCAGATTTCAACTTTACGGTTTTGATAATGGGCACAAAGCAGGAGGACAGAGAGGCTTTAAAGACAACCAAGGAGACTGGCACAATTTACTTCGTATGGAGCAACCTATACAGATGAACTTGAAGAATGTAAGAGATGAGGATAAACTGAATGAAACACTGGTGGATAAGTATGTGGTCAGAGATAAGTTTGATTTATGGATGGAAAGACTGAAAGATAGGTTAAGACTGAAGAAGGACAACCCTAACAAAATTACAAGAAAACAGTTTGATGAACTGAACACCAGAGAGGCTTGGATAAAGGATACAGGAATAGATGCTACACTGCCCAGAAGAAGAAATACTAAAGGTAGATACAAAGAGTTTGAAGTGATACACGATACAGTTTTGTTTGATACGTTATTCAAGAGATTAGTTGAAAAACACCCAGACCTGAAGAATAATACCAACCTTGAAGACTACACAAGTGCCATCAAGATTTTAGACATAAGCGATGTATCAAACACAGGAGGTGGAGATGATGAAACAAAGAAGAAACTGAAGGATGGCAATGAGATTGGAATGTATCACTACACCATCAATACCGAAATGGATGTTGCTAGTGATAATTTGGTTGATGCCATCATAAATAAGAAACACACCGACGGTGAGTGCTGGATTAACACACTGATAGACCATTATGAAGAGACACTGATGAATACTAAAAAGTGGGAGAGCAAAAGGTTGACAAGGGATACAATTTTGAAACTAATGAATTTAAATGAAGAAGAGTTTAAAGATAATGGGGCATCAGTTGAAGATATGGAACCGGTGTTTGAAGAATTTAAACTGACTGTCAGATTATATAACTGTATTGGTCAAAAGGTTTATACCTATGACCCTTTGAATAAGAACAAAAACATAACCGTATTGTTTGGGATGATTAAAGGCAACCACATTTACACAATGAATGACAACATCAAGAGCATAGCACAAAAAGAATTAGAGGAAAGTATGAAAATATGTGCTTCTACTGACTTTCGCCTGAACAGCAAAGATAAACCAGTTAAATATGATTTTTTTCAATGGCATTGATGACATAATGGGTATAGTTGAAGAGAATGAAGATGAAGAAGAAGTAAATTTAGTTAGTGGCAAAAACTTGAATACAGTTTTTTGTGAGTTCAAGAGGGCAAAGTATGAACCTAAAATCATAATGGGAGCAGGTGGCAATGTAGCATCACTCAAGGTAAAATTTAATGGACTAATTTTGAATATCAGAAGCCAGAGTTTGATAGACTGTGCTGTTGATACTTGTACTGATAGTAGGAATGCAGATATGTTTAATAAAGTAAATGAGGCATTTTTCAATTTCAATAAGGGTATGTTCAATCCTAATCACAAGTCATATTATCATAGTAATGACTTGAACATATTTTCAATGGCACATAGCATAGCTCCCAGTGGATATTTTGAAAGCATCATTGAAGGAAAGAATACTCACATTGAATTAGATAGGAGGAAAGCCTATACTAAATCTACAATGGATGTGTTTGAAGTGCCTGTCTTTTCGGACTTTGATATTTGGAGAACATATGATTATTCAAAGAATGATTTTAACAAGATGAATGCTTTGACATTATATCTTGTTAAAAGCAAAGGGAGAAACCTATTTTCCAATAGGACTTATAACTTGATTTACGGTAAGTTTTTGAAAAAATATGCTGAACATGTTGAAATTATCTATTACAAAATTCCATCTAACACATACAAAGTTAATTACAAAAAATTAGTTGATGAACTTTGGAAATTGAAACTGGATGAGGATGAAGAGAGAGACAAGTTGAAGAAAAAAATGGTTGCTTGTATCAACATTGGCTTATTAGAAAAGCAAACTAACACTGCTAAAAAGTCAGTTGTGTTTTCAAAAATGATTGATGCCTTTTACTATCAAGAAAAGTATGGTGGCGATATAAGTATCATTACTGAAACTCAATGGAACGGTTATTTTAATGATTTCAATGATGATGATGATTGCTTGATTGAGAGGGATGATAAAGGGAATTACATTGAAAATATTGAGAATGATAATGATAATGATATTCCTGAAAAGATAGATGAGTGTAAGCATTATGTGCTGAACATTTCTGATACAAAGACTTTGAGTAATGGATATAGGTTTATCAAAGAACTGATTTTACAACATCATAATTTTGATATGAATGAGGCTTATGAAACACTTATGAGGGATGATGTAATGGTGTATTCAGTAAAAACTGATGCCTTTGTTATAGATAAATGTAATTTAGCAAAAGCAAGGGAGGTGTGGAAGTTTGGCAGTGAGATTGGTGAATGGCGGTGGTCTGATAAATTCAATTTTCCCAGCAAGGCATTTAGCAAACAACCCAGTGTATTATGTGGCATTACTGAATATGAAAATAAAACAGGTGATGTCAAGGACGAATGGAACACTGATGAAATCATAGATGAGCATATTATGACTAATAGGAGGTTGATGATTAGAGGTGATGTGCCGGGAAC